CCCCCGGTCCCCCTCACTAAAACTATCACTTCAGAACGGAGCATACAATATATTCCCACTTTCACAGCATTTTATATACGAAATTGACTAAAACTAAATCACGACGACCTCGTTCGCCTGCCGGAACTCCACGACATCTTGCTGCAAACGCCGTGTCGGCTTTCTACTGTGAGGATTTTTGAAAGCTTAATGAAAACGCTTTGATAGCGGGTGCGAAGCGCTAGCGCTCTTGGTTACAGCGTCTTGCGCTGTTTATACACTCTATCCCATGATTTCCGAGATAATGATTCCAGGGTTTTCGGGATTATTTCGCTGGTAATTTGTCGAGTTTTTTCTCAAGCGGCGGTAATGACGATTACCAAAAGGCAATGAAACCTATTTACAGAAGACGAAATGCGAAGAAACCCTTCGCTGCAAAACGATAATTAATGGATTCCACTTACAGTGCCAGTTTCACTTCCTCGCTCTAGCATCGAGTGTCCGACAATGATTAGGAAAACGGGAAAAATGAGCTTCATGCTACCTTCTATTTTGTGAAATTACGAGTATTAATGCCAGGATTTCTAAAATGTTTTATTGACATCTAGCAGTAAACCTAGTCGGACTGAGCAGGGCTTTTTCTTTTGTTACTCTTGAACTGTTGCACCGAACAACAAAAAACTCGTCTCAAGAATGACATTGAAAGTCCAGACAAAGGCTCTGTGTTATTTTTCTCAAGTAATGCCATTACTGCTGTCAGGAGCTAAACCCCGTTTTACCTGAAGGAAGTGCCAGTGCTAGTACAGGTTCAAATGGACAGAGAGCACTCGTCAGGCAAGCACTATTAGCAAAAAAAGAAATAGAACTTGCTTGATTAGCCCGAAGCGGATCGATCTGCATGCTCTCATCGCGCCCGCCAGCGCACAACGATACGAGCAGGCGTTTGAAATGGCCGCTCGTTTCACTGATCAAATCATTCTCCAGACTTCTCCCGTATATCTGTTGGTAAACGTTGCGCAGCTCCGCGATTTGTGCATTCGTTCGCGAACACATCACCTCAATTAGCACCGACTCCTTGGTACCCAGACCCTATAGGTCACATCAGTTTTGAATGGTGATGGTGATGACTGAGACAGCTACAGTTACGAAAATGAAACAGTACTGCCGCAAAAGGCGATCCATAAAAGTATTTAAAAATTTGTTTGAAAGAAGCAACCCAGGCTGGAACGCACCGGGCCGGCCCGTGCGATCATGCGTTTTTGCACAGGACTTGAAG